CAGAGAGCCTGTTCTAAATAGAGGACTAGTGACTCAGTAAGGGGCTAGAGCCACACCACTAGCACAAGTACCCGCCTTCCTTGTGGTTGGCAGGTACAGGGATCACAGCAAAGAACACAGGCCTGGAAACCACGCATCTGTCATATCAGCAAGTGTAACAGGCTAAACTCTCCTATGAAATAAGGAGGTGTTCGGAGTGGATCACAAAGCTGAAACCAACTCTGCGGTGCATGAGTCACACCTAAAAGGAACTCACAGATCAAAATAAAGAATTCGCAAACGTTTCAAAAAAATGTGAAACGCAAAAAGCAGATGTCACCATGTTAACAGACAGAAGTATCTCTGCATTAACTAAAATATTACCACCATTCACAGACGAGTTCTAGGTGCTCTAAGGAAAAGCAGACTGGACCATGTAGGCAGTGGGTGTCTAATTCCTTCTCTGTCCATGACAGGGGAGTAAGACATGGACGACCCCACTAATGCGATCATTAGGGCAGGCATAGTTGGTATACTCCAAACCCTGAATCCTGCAGAGTCAGACCTTTCTGAAATGCACAGAAAAATCACCACAGATTATCTCACCAAGAAAAAGTCAAGTCCAAGGAAATGGAGATAGCAGACGAGGTCCCCTTATCTTAGTGTAAAAAGACAACAACGGCCAGCATTGTGGTGCCGTGGATTAAGCCCTGGCTGCGACGCTGGTACCAGTCCCACCCGCTCTTCTTCCAGTCCAGCTCCCTGCTAAGTGCCTGGGGAAGCAGCGGAGGACGGCCCAAGGGCACCCACGTGGGAAGCCGGGGTGGAATTCCAGGCTCCCAACTTCATCCTGGCGCAGACCTGGCCGCTGGAGAGTGACCCAGCAGAGGGAACATCTGTCTCTATAACTCTGCCTTTGAAATAAATCTCTAAACAACAAAACAACTGGAAATAAACACAGAAGCACTACTACTTGAGTGGATAGCGGGCTCTCGGATGAGTTTTGGGTTAAAGAAGGAATCAAAACCAAAAGTATATCCAGAAAATCCCGCACAGCGAGCTCACAGGAGACGCCTTGAGAAGTGCTCAGGAACTTCAAAGCCTGAATTTTTCCCCTTAAAAAAAAACACCCTATATCTAAGTATCTATAAAAAATTACCAAGGCAAGCAAAAGAAAGGTTTTAATACAGATAAAAGCATAAATTAATGAACCAGAAACCAGAAAAGGGTAATTACTAATAAATCCTGAGGAGGAATCCATGGGGAAGGGCAATAGATAATATTGTGAGCTAACCTAATTTAAAAAGGAGAGGGAGGGGGAGGGGGAGAAAGCACAAGAACACAATGAAAGAAATAATGGGGAAACCGCCACTTAAGACTTAAAAACTGGTTCAACTGTATGCAAATCTGAAGACCTGGATAAAATGGAGCATGAGGTCCCAATCTCATTCAGGAAGCCACAGGACACCTGAACCAGACCCCCAGTCACAGAACCAACAGCAGGTTCTGTGGCCCGGTTTCACAGGGGCAGCCCAACTTAGCAGATGGTCCCAGCTCTACAGAAGGTGTCAAAGCACGGGGAAAAAGGAAAGCCTCTGATGTTTCTTTGTTTTTAAGATTTACTTAAAAGGCAGAGTTTCAGGGAGAGAGAGAGAGAGAGAGAGAGAGCTTTCATCTCCTGGTTCTCTCCCCAAATGGCTGCAACAGCCAGGGCTGGGATATTAAGAACTCCGTTAATATCGCAGAGTCACACTGGATCAAGTTGGGGGGACCATGATCCTCCTCGTACACGATGAAAAGTCATTTTGGCAAAGTTGAACTTTCATTCTTGATTTTTAGAATCCTTCATAAAACCGGAATGGCTGGAGACTTAACCCAATAGAATACCTGCCCTGAAGCCAGCGTTTGCTTAATGGTGAAATCTAGAAGCTACAAAGTAAGAACGTCTGTTATCGCCACTATTATGTTTCACTGTTCTAGGGATAAGATTCAACTCTATTAAGTAAAGCAAAGAAATTAAGGGATAAAGCAAAATAGGAAGTAAAATTATCATCTGCAAATGATGTAACAGTGTAACTGGAAAACCCAAGAGATGGAACTGAAAACCCATTATAATCAATAAAATACTTGAGGAAGGTGGCAGAAGTTAATAGCCTTCCTATAAACAACCTCCAGTTAGGGAGGAAACGACTAGTCAAAGAAGCTTAAACTCCCAGCTGGAAGCTCACCCCAAGACGCCCAAAACGTGAAGCCGTCCTGGAGGGACCGGGCGTCTGCACAAGCAGGGTAAGCTGCTCCCACGATGCTGGCGCCCACGTGAGCGCCGCTTCCAGTCCCGGCTGCTCCGTCACTTCCGATCCGGCTCCCTGCTAGTGCGCCTGGGGAGGTGGCAGAAGATGGCCTGAGTGCTTGGGCCCCTGCACCCACGTGGGAGACCCGGATGGAGTTCCTGGATCCTAGCTTTGGCCTGGCCCAGCCCTGGCTCTCGTGGCCATCTGGGGAGTGAACCAGTAGCTCGAAGGTCTCTCTGTAACTCTGCCTTCCAAATAAATTTCTTTCTTTCTTGAAAAGCACATCACGTCTTGGAGGAAAGAGTGAATCATGAAAATGTCAGCTCTGTCTCAAGTCTCTGTGGATGTAATCCCCGTGCAGAGTAACCAGGGTTTCTGTAAGTGGACGCTGTGGCTCAGACAGGACAGTACAGGAAAGCGCCAGGGGAATTCGGGATTAACAAGAACAAGCCCCACCGAGTATTAGCGTAAGATACGCCTGCCACCACACGGACTGGCCACAAGGAGGCGCTCGCTCAGGAAGCCACGAAAGCTCACAGCCGTAGGCTTCCATTCTTAGCCCAGTCCAGCCCAGCCTGGGGACTCTGGAGAAGTGGGGGGGGGGGGGGGGGGACAAGGTGGTGGTCATCGATGGATGGTTACAGGGTTTCTTCCAGAACACGTTCTAAAGCCATTACAGTACGCCAAGAGCAACTGATTTTGCACTTCTGAATTGCATCTCAGTGAAGACGGAATTCACATCGCCGTAAGCAAGCAGTGCCCGGCGTCTCCCCGCCTGACTTCGTGTAACACGGTGCCCCAGGACCCGGAACACGACAGCGCTGATACTTCACAGATAATCAGGTCAGAGCTTTTGAAAACCACAGGAGACCTAGAAGAAACCCTGGGGAACCTTTCTTTAAAAACAAACACAACGCAACATCTCAGCCTGAGTGAGAACATTCCTAGTACAGCATAAAACCCAGAGACCGTAAAAGGAAACGCAAATGTCACTTTTCAGAGTCTTTCACGACTCAAAAACAAATGACAAATTGGGGAAAACATGAAAACAACTGTAGTTCACAAGACCTAGCGGTTCATCATATACAAATAGCTCCTACAAATCAACAAGGACAAAGACAACCATCTAATCAATAATTTAAAAAATGGACCATAGTGATGAGCTCATTCAAAGGAAAAAAAAGGCTCAAGCCTGAGAAGATGTCTAGCTGGATTCGTAGCAAACTAAATGAAGAGTCTGTCGTGAGCAGTCAGTGCCCCAGGGAGCAGAGCCTGAGCGTGATGTCCCACACTGTGCCGTGGGCAGTTCGTGGGTATGGTCTCTACTGACGTCAGAATACACCAGCCCAGGCTCCTCAGTTAGTGTATCCTGTGGCACCCAGGGGCTCTACTACTGCCTGGCCTGTGCCGGCAACAGGCTGGTTACAGTGTAGCGAGAGGACTAGCCGGGTGCGCACGCTTCATCCTGGGGAGAGAGACCTCTGTGGCAAAGGTCGAGGAAGCGTTCTTTCTAGAACCTGACCTGCAGGGGATGGTACCAGGTCAAAGAGTGAGCCGGACGGCGTGGAAGGCACGTGTGCACCCAGCATCTCCCAGAAGGCCGCCCGGCAGGCGGACAACCCCCGGGTGCCTCTGGGAAGGGGAGCAGGTGGCTGGGTAAGTCGGAGGCTGTTGTCCATACTCTCCTTCCCTCCTCCTGAGGACTGGACCACAGGGACGCCTTACCTTATCTACAGACAGACCTGAAAGGGAAAACGGCCACAGCGCAGCCTACGGATAAACAGGGCTGGGTCCCGGGTTCTAGCACGGAGGCAACAGGGACGGGTGGGGACTCCGGTGAACTGGAGATGGATTTTCAGCTCTAACCAGGAGCTGTGGTGAGGAACTCGGGCCTCCGCCAGCCGACCCTCTGAGTTCTCTCACGAGACTGTTCGCGGGAACTTCAATGCTTTTTTTTTTTTCTTTTTCAACAAACTGTATGGTGGCTAAAAAGAATCGGCTCAGAGGACTCCTGGTGCTAGGCCGTCAAGGCCAGCCCCGAATGGGCCACCCTGAGAAACCACGGCCTGCAGCCAGGTCCCGCTCAGGGCGGTTTAGCTTCCATGCTCCCTCCTCGGGTAGTGCTGGAACATGACGGCCGGTGAGACCTGGTGTGCGGCACGCTGGGGCCAGCCGGAGGAGGCCCTGGGGGGTGGCCCAGACCAAGCATAGGCCTGGAGCCCCCAGAGAACACAGACGTTAAGACAGGGTGAGGGAGGCCGGCGCTGTGGCATAGCGGGTAAAGCTGCCTCCTGCAGTGCTGGCATCCCATATGGGCGCTGGTTCAAGTCCCAGCTGCTCCACTTCTGATCCAGCTCTCTGCTAATGGCCTGGGGAAGCAGCGGAAGATGGCCCAAGTGCTTGGTTCCCTGCACTCACGTGGGAGACCAAGAAGCTCCTGGCTTCGGATTGGCCCAGCTCTGACGGTTGCTGCCAATAGGGGAGTGAACCAGCCAATGGAAGACCTCTCTCTCTCTGCCTGTGCCTCTCTGTGTAACTCTGACTTGCAAATAAATAATAAATAAATCTTTAAAAACAGACTGTGATGGGGATTGAAGGGGGTCGATGTGCTGACGGGACTGGCCCTGCAGGCCCCTGCGTGACCTGCCCCGCGGCGGCCTGCGGTGGGTCCAGCCCCAAGGACTCAGACCCCAAGGGGGGCGGTGCTGGGTCAGGGGCAGGTGCACTCACACTTGCGCAGCTCCAGGCTCTTGCTCGGGCAGGCCAGGTGCTGGCCCGGCGGGTTCTGGGTCCTCTGCAGACAGGCGAGCATGGCGGAGTTGGGGGCCCACGGCAGGGCGCGCGCTGCAGCAGGGTCCCTGGGAGGAGGGAGGCGAGACACTGGTCACTAGAGGCTCTGCGGGGCCTGCGTGCTCCCCACCGCCCTGCAGGAGGAAGCAGACGCCCTTCCCCCACATCTGTCAGGTGTGGAGACCAGGGCCCGTGGGGATGCCCAGGGGGGGGCCAGCCGGAGCAGGGAGGCCCCCGAGTCCTCTTGGCGGCCCTGGACCGAGGGTCAGGATGGCCGCTTGGAGGTCCAAGGGGTACTGGCAAACCCGGCCCGGCATGTGCCATTGCCCGAGCGAGGCCCTCACCCCACCTGGGGAGGGAGGCCCACCCCGGCGCTCCCTCGTCCACGCTCAAGCTCACCCTACTGTCCCCAAACCCACCCTCCTGCCACTCTAGGAAGCCAGGGCGCAACCGAGACACAGGAGCCCCGGTCAGGGCTGGCCTGCGTGGAGGCCGCCATGAGAGGGCGGGACCTTCCCCGCCCAGGCCCTCCCTCCCTCCATTCCATCAAGGGTGCAGCCCTGGAGACCCTGCATGTCCCCCCAGCCCAGGGCGCCCAGCCCTACCGCCTCCAGGGCCACCCCCCTGGTCCAGCCACCTCCATCCTCATGTGGGTTTGAAAAACGAAGAAGAGGGAAAGGGGGTGTTGAAGGGAAGAACGGGAAGTTATTTAATACTAAACAGGTGTCTGGGCTCTAAATTCTGTGCGTTCCCCTAATAATGAAGTATTCATGAGGAAAAGCCTTTTTTCACTACTTTCTTAAGATACTAATTTCACAACAAGCTCCTTGTTACGGCGCAATTATTCCAATCTTGTGTTTCCCGAGACGGTGGCAGCCTCGTCTGTCCTGGGCTCCCTCCCGGTAATGAAAGACAATCACGCGGGCACCTTTCATTACGCTCTATTTTACTTTCAGCAAAGGTGCCCTGAAAGAAATGATTTCCTCTGAAAGGGACTTTTATTCAGTTTCAAAACCAATTTTCTCCTATTACTGTCTCAAAAAAAAAAAAAAAAAGAGTGAGGGATGGATGTGGGGGAGGGCAGGTGATCCTCCCCCCCCCCCCCAGTTGCCAGTCTTAGCGCAGCGGTGCCGTAGGCGCTGCGCTGCCCCCTCCCCGGCTTTGATTTCAGGGGGATTTGAAAATATGCCATTACAATCAGGCAGAAATTACACCGCTTCCACGGGGCACGGAGTGGGGCCCACGCCCGCGAGGGAACGCCGCAGCACGGCTCCCCCTCGGGGACCTGGGACATGAGCAGGTGTGGCTCGACCACCACTACCTCCCCCTGGGATATGGGCCCTGAGGCCACACGGTGCCCGCGCTGGCCTGCTCAGGTGGGCTGTGCTGGGCGCCCACACTGACACCATACACATTCATACACACATTCATGCACACGTTCATGTACACATTCATGCACACATTCATGCACACATTCATGTACACGTTCATGCACACATTCATGTACACGTTCATGCACACATTCATGTACACGTTCATGTACACGTTCATGCACACATTCATGTACACGTTCATGCACACGTCCATGCACACGTTCACGCTGAGTGGCACAGCTGCTGCACGCACACGCAGCTGGTGCCCGGATGCACGCACAGCCGTGTGCACGCCTGTGGCGGGAGAGGCCATGGCAGCATCCTCACCCAGCACAGCCTCTCTGCCCCCGACTCCTGCTCTGGGCAGTATCCACCTCTGCCTACTCTGACACTGGTGGGGACGGGGCAGAGCCGACAAGAGGCAGCCCCAGCCCTGTCCCTCCACAGATGGGAAACCCATGGAGAGGGAGGGGACAGCCAGTCCAGGGCCTGCCAGCAGGCAGCGGGGCTGGGGGAGCCTGCCGCTCACCACTGGGCTCCGCTGAGCCCCCGGCCTGGGCAGTGGAGGAAGGTGGTGGGAGACCTGCTGTGCTGAGGAAACCTCTCAGCCTCCCCTCTCGCTGTGGGACCCCAGATGGCCGCCTGCCTCTCTCTGGCCTGCCACAGGGGCCCCTCCCTCCCAGGGTCCTGGCCACCTGCTCCTACCCCCAGCTTCTCACAAGGTGCTGGGGGCCCAGGAGCCCAGTCCCTCTCCAGAGGTACCCCCGGTCTTCCCCATGGGCCTACATCCCAGCATGCTTTGCTGTGGGAAAAGGGTGGGGGGAGGGGTAGGCTGCCTGTGCTGGGCCTTCCTGGGGGGCTGGGTTCTCCCCGTGCTCTGACGGCTATGCAGGCCCTGGCAGTTCTGGGAGCCAAGAGGGGGCCTCTGGCTGAGCTCAGGGGGCCTCGGAGGTCTTCAGGGGTGACATTAAGGCCTCAGCTGGGCTTTTCCAGGTCAGCTGCTTGGATCGTTCCAAAACATTCACAAGGGACGAGCAGTGAGGCCTGCAGCCTGAGCCCATCTCTGCAGCTCCCTGCCCGTTCTGTGGCCTGCTGCTGGGCGGGGCTAGGATGCGGCCAAGGCTGCCCACCAGCTCCAGTTCTACAAACAAGACCGCCTCATTGTCTTGCGGCCTCTGAGCAGAGCCCCGCCCTCTCTGCTTGGCCTTCAAGGCTTCCCCGGGCCGGCCCTCCCCACCCCTTTGCACTCGCTGGTGGCTCTGCCTGCCACGTCCTGGAACTCAGCTCAACTGCCCCCTCCTCCGGGCACCCCCATCGCAGCCCTAATCATGCCGAGTTCTAACTGCCAATTTTCACGTCTGCCTCTCTCCACTGCGCTCGGAGTTTCTTGTTTCTCTCTCTCTTCCCAGCGCCCGGCACAGAGTAATCATTTCCTAACAAATAGGCATCCGCTGGGCGGAACCAACGGCTCGGCAAGTGTCTCAAGACAAAGTGGCCGGGGCCCAGAGAAACCAAGTGTCCGCCTGAGGTCACACAGCAAACGAGGGACATCACGGTCTTCCCTCCCGGGGCTCATTCCTCCCTGCCCCCTGCCAGGACCGTCTGGGGAGCGCCACTCATTTGGAAACCCTATCTGCAAATCAGACTGTTTATAAGCTCAAGGTCTTTTGTGACTTTCATAATAAAAACCGAGGAGGGGGTGGGGAGGGAAATGTCGAAAGGCTGCGTGATGAGAATGCGGGCACCAGCCCTGACGCGGGGGCTGATAAGATGCGCCTTTATCTCCGAGACACCCACGCAAAGGTCCCCTCGCCAGATAACACCCCCAGCTGTCCTTTCATGGAGGGGGGATTTAGATAAAGGATGACAGGGCGGGGAGAGAGAAGGCCTCTGCAGTCCAAGGACAGCCAGCGTCTGTGGCCCTGTGCGGCCCACCCCGGCAGAACAATGGATAGGACGGTAAAGGCTGCCTGCTGCCTGGCCTGCTTCACTCAAAGAACCAGGAGGGGTCTCCGCCGGCCGGCCTCGTGTCTGGCTGCTCCGAGAGGAGCTCCGACACTGACCCCTGCTTCCCGACACTGACCCCTGCTTCCCGTGAGCCTGGCGCCCCGGGCATCCTGAGCCTCAGCCCTCACCCCCGCCCTCTAGTGGCCCCGTGGCCAGTTCTGGTAGCCCTCTAGTGGCCCCGTGTCACCGATGCGGAAGCAGGCAGAGAGGGGAAGCCATTCGCACAAGCTCACACAGCTGTTAGGTGGCAGCAGCCCAGGGCACAGTGACGCCCCTGTGTCACATCCTGGGAGGACAGAAGTCCCTCCGGGGATGGGCACTAGGCACAGCGGTGATGATGCTGATCAAGCGGCTCAGACCACCTGGGTTCAATCCCCAGCTCAGGCTCCTGGCTCCAGCTTCCTGCTGACGTGCACCATGGGAGGCAGCGGTGATGGTGAAGTAGTTGGGTCCTTGCTACCTACGTGGGAGACTTGGATTGAGTTCCAGCTCCTGGCTTTGGTGCTGGCTGTTTCAGACGTGTGAGGAGTGAACAAGCGATGGGGACCCTCTCTGTCTCTAAGAACCAGAGAGAGTGGGTGTTGCGGCCAGGCCGCCACTTGAGAGACCACATTCCCATACTGAAGGGCCTGGGATTGGGTCCCTCCTCCCAGCTTCCTGCTAATGTGCCCTGGGAAGATGACGGCTCAAGGGCCTGGGCTCCGGACACCCACGTGAGACCTGGATGGAGCTCCTGGCTCCTGACTTTGGCCTGGCCCAGCCCTGGCTGTTTTAGGCATTTGGGGAGGAACCAGACAATAGAAGAAGACCGATCTTGAACTCTGCCTTTCCAATGAATGTTTAGAGAAATCACAAAGAAAACGGTGTCCTGCCACCCGCCAGCAGACCTGACCTCCAGTGCGCATGCCAGTCCCTGATGCAGGCGGAAATCTCTGGCCTCACCCCTGTGCCTCCGACATTCCCGTAGCACCCAGGCTGGGCTGTGACCCTGTGAAGGCCACAGGCTGTGCTACCTCCGGCCCTCCCCCCAACCTCGTCCCTGGAGCTGCCTACGCTGGCTCCTGCGGCCCCACACAAGGCCAAAGACCAGCTCTGGCTCAGAGGGGCAGGCCCAGGCAGGCCCTGCCGGCCTCGCACGGAACGAGGATTTTGGACAGGAGAGCTGGCCCCGGGGACCTCAGGCAGCTGCAGCACCTCTCTGAGCCTCAAGTTTCCCTAACTGAAACTTGATGGGGTGGCAGCCAGCCCACGTCACGAGGAGCTGCCCAGGAGAGGAGGCTCAGCCGAGTGCCTCTGTGCACGAGCCGCAGGGACGGTCCTCAGCCTGCCGGCCCCTGTCCGCAGGGATTCAGAATCTGCAGGACAGGATGGGAAGCTGGGAAAACCCAGCAGTCCTTGCGGAGAGCTGACTGCCCAGTGGGAGTCCGTCCCCAGGAAGCAGGCAAAGGAGAAGCCACCACTCCCAGTGCTCAGCTCATCCCTCTCGCCCTGCTGTGAGTGACCTCTCCTTCCCCCTACACTGTCCTGGCCACAAGGCTGAAGGCAGGGAAGAGCCACGAGTTTGGCCGGGGCGGGGCACCATGGATGGAGAGGAGAAGACCCAGGCTCCAGGAAGACAATAGCACTGGACTGGGGGTGCTGCGGTCAGACCCGCAGCCACCTTTCTAAACCACCGCGTCTTCACAGCC